CTTCGAGTTGTCTTCTTGCTGTTCTTGCCATGTTTTTAGCTATTTTTTCGCCTAGTTCTTACTCTTGAAACGAGTGGAATGTCCGCCATTTTTTCAAGTTCACAACCAAAACAACTCAACCTCGTCCCCAGATCCTCTCGGTTAACGGTGCCTTAACCTGCACGAAGGCTACATTTTTGACGTCATTTCCTCGTTAAAGTCAAATTTCTTCCAAATTTGGTCATCAGTAACTGGTTATGATGAATTAAACGTGTGCTTTTAGCCAATCAGAATCGAGGAAATATTTTGAATGAATAATAATGGGTATTTACCGAGGCCGCGAAGCGGCCAGGTAAAATCCACTACCAGCCACTGACACTGAGGTGAATATCCACTACTAGCCACCGACACTGAGGTGAATAATTGTTTTAGTATATACTAAAACAGTGAGATAATTGAGCACAAAATGATGATTTTCAACTCATTTACTGTTGCCAAGGATTACAATTTTGGCGCCCGATGACCGAACGGCCGCGGTCGTCGCTCTTTCTTAGCGACAAATAAAACTTTTGAAGGCGTTTGTTTAGCTCTTACGGGGAAGTTTCTTCAAAAGGAGTTTTGAATTCTGCTTGTATTTAAAATAATTCTGTAAAAAAGATGATTAAATTTAGTTTTAAGCTTATTTATGAACAAGTCAACTAAATAAAATAACGCAAGACTTAAGCTTAATTTGCATTTGTTAACAAAAAACTTTTTCACCGGTTTTATCGATAACTATTCAAGTCAAAAAGGCAAAGCTTTACCTGTTAAAACTTCCAAACCGAGCTTCGTCGCCTTCTTCATGTATTTCAGAAATAGCTTGCTTGATTAGTTGTGAAATTTCTTAGTTTGTTACGGCAGCAAACCAGGAAAGCATTTTGCTCGCAACCTACGCGAGTTTGGCGTCGCTCGTTCGGAGGAACTGGAGGTGAATCAGTGAATAGTGCAGGATACTCACTGATTGAGTAGCCAATCAGAGCGCCCGAAAAACACTATTCACTGTTTTAGTATATAATAAGGCTTATAAGCGGCAGTTTACGGTATAACAGTATTTGTGATGGCAAGAGGAGAGCTCTCGTTGTTTACTAATGTTTTGTTACATCTTTTTCTTTTCTTTTTTTTTTGCGAATAGAAAGAACATCTGTACGAATAGATTTTCGACTTGTGACACCGTGGGTATGATTTTCTTCTTATATTTTTTGGGAGAGAGAAAAAGAAAGAAACAGGAATAAAAATAGAGCTTTTATATTGTTTCTTGCGTAGGGATCGCTTTCATGCACGGAATATGTGACCCGAAAAAACGATGCAGCGTAATTCAAGACAGTGGCTTAAATGTTGCCTTTACGGTGGCACACGAAATTGGACACAAGTAAGTCACTCAGACTAGGCTATCATTAAATTATGTATGATAGAGTGTAGAATGTGTTACGGGTGGTTTGTAGAAAAAGAAAATGCAGTCTAACACTGTGATTTTAATGAATAGCATATATGCTATTATATTTAAAGAGATAATTGGACAAATTTGACGCTGGTTCTTGTGTAAATTGCTATTAGTTTAGGTGCATATCATGATGGCGATGGCAATACCTGTCCAGGCACCGCGGGGTCACCTCCTTATCTCATGTCATCGCAATGGCTGGTTAGGCACAGTCGTGGCACTATGAAGTGGTCTCGGTGTAGTCGAGCCTATATCCACTCGTTTCTAAAGTGAGTACTGTCTTATTCTTAAAGTAACCTGTGGCATTTTAAGTGTATTACGGCCATTCCATATTATGGGAGGCCAAAACGCCTCATTAATTAAGCCATTCTTTTCCTTTAGCTCCAAAGCAAGCAAGTGCCTAAGACATAGAGCCAACAGGAGTCCTTTGTTCTTACCTACTCACTACCCTGGAGTTGCGTTCACCGCTGATGAACAGTGTAAACAGCAGTATGGAAACAGAGCAGGTCACTGCCGCAAATACAAGGTACTCGAAAAACTTGTACACATCCATCTGGATAAGATTTAAGACCAGCGAACTTAAAGATAAAGTCCCGGGGGGGGGGCACTTCCTTATAAGAGGCTAATGGGGATGTGCCGCTGGATGGGGTCGCATTTTCACGACTGGATTGACTATAATGGGGTCGCATTTTCAATAGAGTTACTAGAATGGGGTCACACATTTTCGGATTTTGGGGGGTAAGACAGTTCTTCACATTTACGGTTAGCAAACGTACCGGAATGTTTATCAGTAGGTGAAAATTAAAGTGTTCTTCATTCAGGTTAAAAAATGGGTCAACTCATAAAACTAGAAAGTGACTAAGTTGGGATCGTAAAAATTACATATTTGCTCAAAAGTGACTAAGATGGGGTCTATAATTGGTCACAGAATAGACTATAATGGGGTAGGGGCTCTGAGAGGCCAGCGGCACAAACACAGCAAAAATCTACCCAAGTACCCCCTCCCCCCTCCCCCCCCCCGGGGATAAAGTACTTAATCCCAAAATCATGTGCTTTATTATACAGATTATTAGTCGTTTTGGAGACTTTAAACTGAAACGTTGACTCTCAGTCATACTGTTAAAGTTCAGTAATCTCACATCCTTACTTCGTGGAAATGGTGTTCTTGAAAACTCATGAACAATTCAAGCACAGAAGGCAAAGGAGGTTTAACACCTGATGTGATTTAATATTTACAGAACGTTTCGTTTTGCATCCTTAAGTATTCTTCTCTTCGTTTTGCACTATTTCAAATGGCTGATTTCTGGTTACCTGGAACGAAAAAATGTGAGATTTCCCCTACAATTCAGGAAAATTTTCAGTTGTTTCAATTTTAAGAAAATAATCATGACAAACCCGTATCGTGTCAGTTTTGCCTATTTACGTATACCGTGAAATGATGTTTGAATTAATCAGCTTGAACATATTACACAGCATGATAAATGGTTGACTCATTGTAGAATTGTGAAAACTGTGAATAAATATTCTCTTTAAAATTTCCTATGACGTGTCGATTTTTATGGCAGCCTATACAGTTTGGAAGTCACCTGTCATCTAATTTATCGAATATCATTTGTCTAGTAAATTTGTGAACGTTAAATTAGAGCTTGTGTGATAAGGCAAATACGTCACAGATCGTCAGAACCAGAAAGTAGTTAAATACTAGATATGATTGAGTTTACAAGGCTGGACCTGTATTCGTCGACAAAGAAGCTAGCATGTAGTAATTAATTACGAGTAGCCCACACAGTTATACCAATATTGGTTTTTATTAGCTTTTTTTTTCGTTTTCACTTTTAATATCTATTTATTTTATTCATACATTTGTTAATGTTTGAAGAAAGAGAGTGCTCTTATTACTTCGAAAGAAGAGAAAAACAAAAATAAGCATAGTTGAACTAGCCGGAATTGCAGTTATTTGAACTGGACTATAGTGGTCACGGTGTGTTTTACCGGTTTTCTAATACATGTCATTTTTGAATTTCCCTACTCGACAGAAATATCACCCGATTATACTTGTCAATAACTAACAGCTTGTTATAGCGCTGGAGGTTTAACAGAATAGAAAATAGTATACTAATGGGACCCAAACATTTAAGCGTCGTATTGAGTATATTTTCAAAAAGGCCTGCTGTTATTTTGATCTATAAAAGCTTATCAATAAAGGCCATATTCAATCCTTTTAAATTAGTCGACGACATTGATCCATATTCGGTAGCCAACAGGGTGACATAATTTGCCTACAGATTATGCCATATTGATCTTGTTGAAATTATAATTCTGGTGGTTGGTCCTAAACGTTTAATGATAGTAAATTGAATGTTCTTCTGGATCCTTCCAGGGTTGGCAAAAGATCTTTTATTTGGGACCAGTTTCACGACCTTAATGGTCATAAAACACTTAACCAAGCTATTAGCGTTCTACTTATTTACTCTACATTTTTTGTTATTTTATGTTAATAAGTTCATCTGTATATGTGCGTAAAAGCCTTTTCTTTGCGGTTTCATTTCCTAACAACAGCAATCTTTAGCTGTAATCACCCTTCACAGAACAATGGTAATCAGAAAATGAAAAATTGAACAGTTTCTTTAGAGATATTAACTTAAAAACTAGTAATTGCAAAAAAAATATATTTTGCGGTCACCTTTACGCCTCGTAAATTGAATACGAACCATCCGTCACTTTATTTGCACGTTCACCTGCCGCCGCTGTTTTCGCAGGCGTAAAAACGCAGATGGCTCTTATCTTATTATAGTCTATGAGGTAGATCGGTGTTGAGTAAGTCAATTTTTTTATCAGTAATAAACCTCAAAGTGTTTCCGAAGCTTTTAGGCTCAAAAGTGACATCAAGCGTCCTTCAAGTTTAGAAATTTTCATTTTCCATTTGTCGTACTTTTATCTGCATAAAATGAGTATATTAGGTTTCAGTTTTCATACGTCATGCTATTATTATATCAATCTTGTAACTACATAATACTGCTGTCTATAAAGTTGAATTCATAGCGAAAAAGGAGACAGTCTCTGATACTAACCATTTTCTTCTGACTCACCCATGGCTTATAACTCCTCAAGCGATAACAGTGATGGCGGTCTTTCTGGCCAAAATCTGGCTTTCACGTTGTTGTATTCTTTCATCGTTATCATCGGCGTACCAGCTAATTGTATCATAATCACCATCGTGCGAAAAACACCTTCAATGCACACGACAACCAACTTTCTGCTCATGAACTTGGCAATTGCGGATCTTGTAACGTTGTTGTTCTGTCCTGGAATTTACGACTTCCTCCTAAACCAAGTCTATCTTGACAAGACGCTGGGAGATTTTATCTGCAAGCTATTCGTAGGCAATGCAGTGGTTCCCATCTCGATTAATGTTGGCGCTTTAACTGTTTCCGCTTTGGCGGTTGAGAGATACCTAGCGTTATCAAAACCTTTTCACACTAGACTTCGATTGTCTAACAAACGGGTTCCTCATGTCGTCTTGTTTGTGTGGACATTTGCTGCTTTATCATGCATTCCCGACTTTCTGACAAACACAATAGACCCAGATCCATTGTCAACTTACCCATGCAAACGTCCATGGAGTCTTGACGAGTATTCTAATCACAAAAGCTTTATCATTTTCACTGGTATTTCTTTTGGTATTGTCCCATTTGCGGTTGTTTTCTTCTGCTATTTTGAGATCTTTCGTGGCATGTTCATCACCAATGAAATTTACAGCAGTTCCTCCGAAGCAACAAGCAGTCAAGCACTGGAAGACCAGCGCGCAAAGAAACGCCTTTTGAAGCTTCTTGTATCGTTAACAGTCCTCTTTTCAATTTGCACTTTGCCATTTTCAATATTTTTTATATACTTAACCGCTATTGAAAAAGACGTTGTGGCCAATAATCGAGCTTGCCTGTTCCTCATTCATAGAATAGTTAGATATCTTCTTAATGCCAATTCGTTTTTGAATCCACTTGTTTATGCTCTTCAAAGTTCCAATTACAGAAACGGGTTTAAAACAATTTTTTGCTGTAACTGTAGAACTGTGGATCGGAACAAAGACAAGCCTGTAGAAAGGTCTTGCCAACCCGTATGATTTCAAATTTGTTTTTTGTTGTATGTTTAAAAAGTGTTTATATACTCAAATAAACTGAACCATTAAGAAACGTAGAAAGTCTACATGAATAACTAGCAGGGTAAGAACTACAGTTATAAGAACATTCTATGTGTTTCAGTTTGAACAATATTACTCAGGCCACATACTTTACAGGCATAAATGTATGTCAAATTGAAACTTTTTACACTGGTTTAAGCCTTAGCAAAGCAAGACTGGTGTTACGAGAAGCTCGTGCACTTATCTTGGACAATGAAGAGATTACAAGTACCTATCCCGATTTATGATCGAAGATCGCCAACCTGCGAAAACATCCGTTTCTCCTCGCTCTTCGCCGCTGGGGACGTTTCAAACGTCCCCGAACGTCCCCAGCTACGAAGAGCGAGGAGAAACGGGTGTTTTCGAAGGCTAGATTACAATTTATTTGTTTACAAGTCACAATCACAATTGCTTTCAGTAGGGCTTCTATATTTTATTAGTAAGCTACAGAAAATAGCACACCCATAGATAGTTTGGCAGAGTCTGGCAGTTAATATTAATATCAGTCGGATTGTAAAAAGGGATCATCTGTCTCCCTTGTCTCTCCATGGTTCATTCCGGAATTGAAAGTGTCACACATTGAAATCAGGAGTTGTCAAGGTAAAGTGGAAAAGTGTCACTATTAGAAACGTATGATTCCGGTTTCGAATCATTAAACGATCGTGATGTCAGCCCTTTTATTTTATTGGTCCTCATCTGTAAATAGAAAGTTTCAGGAGCGATCTACCGCAGCCCACTGAAGGCTAGCACAATCAATAAATCCACATCTGATCGTAATCGTTAGTTACCGTCCATCTAAACCCTAGTTTCTTTACCCTCATTGACAGGTTGAACTACTAAATCCAACTGAAATACCACTAAAACAAGAAAAGTTTCTTAAGGTTGACTAAAAATACGTGTATGGCAGAACCTCGCGGGGCTCAAAAGTTAATGAAATGTTTATCAACACTGCTTCAACCCTAACCCTCCCAGTGGCAAATAATTTGTCGAGTGACACATATTTAAGTTATCTTATCACGCAACAAGAAGACCAAGAACACTTTTCTACCTCGGAATCACGCTACTCAGTCTATTAACTTAGTGTGGATTACACCTGTCTAAACCGTTTTGATTGCTTGAAACCCAGTTACCGAAACCAAAGGGTTGAGACAGAGATTAATCCTTTTAAAACTAGAAGTAATCGGAGCTAAGGAGAGTGTGTTCGATATGTTTGTTAGGCGTACAGGTGGCAGTTGAGGGGGAAGGGTGGCTGGTTCTTGCGATAGATCGATAACTATGATTAAGGCATATTTTGAACGTAAGGGTTGCGTACAGCGAAACCTCTATGAAAAGGTTTTGAAGGCTAGTGATCAGAGTGATGTCGTATGGTTCGTCTCAAGTGCAGTTGTTCGAAGACCGATTAGCGCTTGACCCGGGTTTCTTTTTCTTTTGTTCAAAAACATTTCTTTGGATAATTTTTCTCTGTTATTTTTAAGAGCATCCAATCGTCAACTTGTTGACAAAATGAAGCTTTCACATCTGAATTCAAATTTTGCACTAACCCTCGACCTCGCCTGGGTTATCTTAACCCAGCTTTGAACAACCCGGCCCAGGTATTGTCAAAAAGCAAACGGTTGACAAAGTTTTAGAAGTAATCATCAGTTTTATTTATTGGGAATTCCACATGTAGACAATTACTGAAATTTACTATAAAATGAAACCGTTACTGGCAAGTCTTCTTAACTTGTGATGATATAAAGATCGACCCAAGACCACATTTTTTGTGGTGAACGCCGGGGCACAATGATTATGTTTCAACACTGTAGGTTCTCTTAATACACTACACGTCTCAATTTCACACGTTTCAAGGGAATCATCAACGCCTTCAGGGGGATGTGTGTGCGGCTTTCCAGTAATTTGGTCGTGTATATTAATTTCAGTGACTTGAGTTACGCCACTGTGGGCTGGTCACGTTTTTCCGAATAAATAACATGGAGCTAAAATGTTCGTTTGTCTGGTGCCGAAGATAACACAAGTCATGATGAAATGGCGCCTCCAAGCTTCACCTCTCGGTAGAATTACTTTGTGGAATAACGGCCGCCGAGCTACACAACTCGGTAGATTTACTTTGTGGCACAACGCACGCCGCGCTTCACAACTCGCTGGTAAATTTACTTTGTAGCACAACGGCCGCCGAGCTAAACCACAGGTAACCCAGGCTCTGTGATAGTACCACAGTACGGTTCCAGTAAAATTACAGTGTTTGTATGGGGTAAAAATATCATCCTAAAATTTCTAGGAAATACTAAATAAAGATCAATAAAACTTACTCTGCAGTTAATAGTTGTTGTCCTTATTGCTCCAACGAAGTTTCGTGATAGTTTGCAGTAATTTGTTTAAATTCACTCTATGTACAATAACAATATACAAGGTAGGAAACACGAGGTGCCATTTTCGCCGACATGCTCTCATTCAACACAACTTTTTCCACGAAATTCCAACTCCAACGGAAAATAAACATGCCAGGATCGTAGAAATAGGATAGCAGCAGATATAGAAACCAATGAAGCTTTCCCAGATAGAGAAACGAATCCCACAGACTTTGACAAACTCGAAGAATATAATCCAAACAGACCGAGAATATTCTCGCCGAAGCAGCCGGGCCAGATCAACGCGCGGCCAAGAAAATGAGAACTGGGCACTGCACAAAAAAATTCCATCCCGGGGGTCCTGGGGTGACCTTTCTAGGGACCGATACATCATTTGCCCAAAGCCACCCTCCCCTGCTGGAAAAATACTTGATAGAAGGCAATTGTTCTTCCTAGCCAATCACTATTTACCAGAGCAAACCCCACACACGCGCCTAAATTTAAATGGCTAAAAAAAAATTATATAATCAGGAGAGTCTGCGGAGTTACAAGGCGCCCCATTTCTTTTACTAAGGAATGCAAATAACAGTAATGAAACTAATGAAATAACAACGCGAAATACTTACAAGGCGGACTAAAAACAAGGTTGAACAAAAGGTAGATGATGACTAAGGTAGTGCTGTGAACTCTCGAGCGAAACTATCGTAAATAAACGGTGAAGCTTGCAAACTAATGTCAAAAATTACACAGAAAATTGCGACAGAATATGAATTGCGATAACTGAGACGAATGTGAAAGGCACGTGCACCAGTAAACAAAGAACTAGCGCGATTAACATATTTAGCGATAAATGCGGCAGTAACACGCCGACGTCTTGTCAATACAAGTGAACGCTCTATCGGTTAAACATGTGAATCATCGTGATACACCTCTCTTTGAATTTGGTGTTGTTGTACAAATGCCTCGGTAAGAGCCAAAATTCACTTATATCTTTTGCTCGTTTTAAGTTTTGTAAATCCTCCTTCGTTGTTCTTTCCTTTGCCCTTATAACCTTGCCCTATTGATATTTGATAAACTTTCTGAGAACCAGCGCCAGGCGCTGAATATAGTTCGAGAGGGACATAATCTCTTTATAACAGGCCAGGGTGGTACGGCTAGGAAGAACAATTGCCTTCTATTAAGTATTTTTTCAGCAGGGTAGGGTGGCTTTGGGCAAATGATGTATCGGTGCCCAGAAAGGTCACCTCAGGACTCCCGGGATGATTTTTTTTTGTACAGTGCCCAGGCCTCACTTTCTTGGCCGCGCGTTGATCTGGCCCGGCTGCTTCGGCGAGCATATTCTCGGTCTGTTTGGATTATATTCTTCGAGTTTGTCAAAGTCTGTGGGATTCGTTTCTCTATCTGGGAAAGCTTCATTGGTTTCTATATCTGCTGCTATCCTATTTCTACGATCCTGGCATGTTTATTTTCCGTTGGAGTTGGAATTTCGTGGAAAAAGTTGTGTTGAATGAGAGCATGTCGGCGAAAATGGCACCTCGTGTTTCCTACCTTGTATATTATTATTGTAGAGTGAATTTAAACAAATTACTGCAAACTATCACGAAACTTCGTTGGAGCAATAAGGACAACAACTATTAACTGCAGAGTAAGTTTTATTGATCTTTATTTAGTATTTCCTAGAAATTTTAGGATGATATTTTAACCTCATACAAACACTGTAATTTTACTGGAACCGTACTGTGGTACTATCACAGAGCCTGGGTTACCTGTGGCTAAACAACCCGGTTTGATGCATGCACCAGGAGTCGCACGCATTTTCCAAAGAAAAATTTGAAGGCTAAATCCAAAGTAAAATTTTACTCAAGGTGTAAACTTTCAGCAAGCTTTTGATGAATGAAAGATGAACGCTTTAGAAGATTCATTAAACACAGATCGATAGTAGACCTTCAGCAAACTGTTAAATATGCGCGCTTTACGAAGATTCAGCACACGTTAATGTATTCCACCACAAGAAAACCCGGCTAATTCGGTGCACCCTATACTACTCAAGCGGGAACATCAAGGTATAATAGCTGAATGAGAATGCCCAGTCAGGGTCTTAATCTGTCCTTTTTCATTACCCTAGTATCGCCTTTGCGAAGAACTTTGGTGTGAGATCAAAGGTGAGAGGCTTTGCAGAAGTAAACTAAACCCGGCGGCTCCAGGAACAGCATGTGCCCCAGACAAGGTAGGCTCTGTATTACTCTCTGGGGATGAGCTTTGTTGGATTATGTCCAGGGGTGGAAATCAAGTATACTTACCATTAACATGGGGAAACCAGACATTCCGGATGGAAAATCAAATGATTAGAGCCATTCCTCTAATCATCATTCCTCTCGGTCAGTATCTCTAGCTGATTTGGGTATACTTTGCGGAGGTCTGCCCTTCTCCCACGAGGAGAAATTATAATTGTTAATTGTGTTTGTGCACGAGATTTTGTGTGAATGGTCAAAAGCAACCCTAGTTTCATTTGAAGGACCATTAGAAAATAAGGTTGAGCCTCTAGGACTTTAAACTCTTAATCACGTCTTAAATAATTAGGTGTTTAGGTTTAGGTACATCACCAACATCCCTTCCGCTTGAACTGAAATATTCGATGCGGTTTCAGTCTCTACTTAAATATGGAGATATCGTAAACATTCTGCTAATCTTATTTTCTTTGATCGGATCGCGCGAAAAAAAAAACTCGATCCGTAACTTACATAACGCCGGAACAGGAAATCGTTTAGTGAGAGGTACATGTATATTCAATTACTATTTTGACTAGTTTTTGAAGTTTGCCGTGTGTGAAATTGACAAGCAATTTTTCGGATGGCTGAGGTATCGAATTGGAATTTAATAACCAACATTTCTGCACAAATAGAGAACAGCGGAAAAGTGACAGACTGAATGGTGTACAGATAGTCACACGGTTGCTTTATGCTGATGGTCTCGTTCTGTTATGTAAAAGTATAGCTGAAGTGAAAACCATCACGGACATTCTAAATGATACTTGCTCTCCTCTTATTTTTAATATTTTCACTGTCGTAATTCATTTTTAAGCAAGAGTGAGTACAAATAAAGATTGTTATTGTTGTTGTTGTTGTTGTTGTTGTTGTCGTCACCATCTCCTTTCCAAAGACAAAGACCCAAGTATTCATCAGTGAGCAAGTTGCCAACTTACCTTCATTGTTTTCAATTGGGTGAAATGTGGTGGAGTATGTATCAGAGTTCACATACCTTGGCCAAACGTTCAGCAATAAAGATCAAGGCAGTTTTACGGACCTTCGTTATCAAAAGCAATTGGGAAATTCAGTGAAATGAGACAAGTGCTTGCGGACCAGAAAGTGAACATGAAAACAAGAGCTAAGCTAATGGGCGATCCCGCCTCTTATATGGAACGCAAGCCTGGTATACAAATGACGAAAATGTCAGAAAATTGGAGACCTGTTGGATGGAGTTGTTGAGGCAAATGGTTAATGGTGTATGGAGTATTCCCCCAACCCGCTGAAGACGCAGAGGATACAGAATTCAGACTCTGATACACCAACACAGACAATCTACACATATCAAAAACAGCAGTCTCAGAAATGTGATCAGGAACCAATCTTTAAAATATATTGGTCATTTTTGCCGTTGTCCAAACACTACACTGGCAAAGAAGATGCTGTTTGCAAAGTCTAGGCTTCCATACAATCGGGACCCTTGGATAAATATCGCTAAATTATTAAAATGTCTCCACTCAGCGGGCAAGAGGTCTACACAAGATAAGTGTGGTTTCGCTCCACTGGTCGACATTGTAGTCACCAGTGCAACTCCATGATAACAGGTTTACCGTCTGGAGAATTTTAACTGTACTGTACGGTATGCTATCTATTTAAATGTTCTCAAAACATAGCCAAAGTCTTAAAGTCTTAATGATGCTGACAGTTGCGATGACTGTCATCTTTATCAAAACTTGGAAATCGTGTCAGAAGCCTTAAATAGGCTTCTGAAGGTGTAAATTATTGCGATAAACGCGCAAAGTGACTCTGTACACCCCCCCCCCCGGTCTGGGGGTGGAGATCACTTGTGTCCATATGGGAGAAAGCTGATAGGCTCCCTCGTCCCTGCTCATAATAGGAGTGTTCGATCTAATACATATGCTTTCCTTGATCCATCTCTTAAACTTGTCGCTTTCCTGCTCAACTATTTCACTTGCTTCCCAATTCGTAATATGATTGTTCTGACAGACGTGGTCTGTTATGGCTGATTTATGGCGCTCATTGGTAGAAGCTCTGCGAGTGGATCTTGTGAAATTTTTGTCAGAGATCTTTTCTGCTTCCTTTCTGTGTTCTGTGATCCTGGTTCCCAGCTGTCTCCCTGTTTCATCGATATAAGAATGTACGGTATGCTATTTACAGAAATTGTTTCAGTCACATCACTGTAATAAATCTCCTGGCTATAATTCTTAACTTGCGAGCGTTGACCACGTCAATCGAATTGATATTGGCAGCAAAAAGAGAAGACAATCACGGCGGCGTGGTGGCTCAGCTGTTTAAGCAGTGCACTGCTGGAGAAAATGGCTAAAGATTTCACTCGTTTAGCAAAGATGAAAAAGCCAAAGTACTTTTTACCTTAAAGGCATAGTAAGAAAAAACATCCACTAGAAAGTACGTCCTTTCATATTCTGAAACTGTCGAGGAAGAGGCAGAAGTTTTGAAAGATGGGACTTAACGTAGAAGTAAGCATGTTCCGAGGTTGATATTCTGTATGAATAATAAAACAATTATTTGCATTTGCAGTGGTGTATGTACGGCGAGTGTGTAAGTAACGGCACCATACCAGTAAAGAGGGACGGTGGCTGGAGACCCTGGTCGGACTGGAGTGATTGCTCTCGAACATGTGGAATAGGAGTGAGTGTTCAAAAACGGTCCTGTGACTCACCAGGGTGAGTTACTGACCTGTAGATTTAAATTTTGACTGTCCAATTTGTACCCACCTCACTTTTGGGAATGTCAAATATCAAAATTTCTATACTCTACATCAAGGAGGTTCTGACTCGAATAACGTAAAAGATCTCCAGCTTGTGGACTGGTACCTAGCCCTTTTTATGCCCGAGTTATGAACATAGAAGTTGACATGCGTACATCACTTGATTTTTAATGATGAACACACTAATAGAATATTTACCACTGTCTGTTTCAGCCCGGTAAATGGTGGCCGTCATTGTGAAGGAGAATCAAAGAGATATAAGACCTGTAATGTCAAGGTAAAACAATTACATATCGACCCCAGCTAACCAGTGCTTTCACTTCAGAGTTTACAGCTATTACCTTAAATGATCTAATAAACGCCAGGGGCGTCAAAACGCTTTCCGCGAATTTATCGACACAGTCAATATACAGAGGACTAACCAGTCCATCCATTGATACGTATAGAGAGAAAAATCTAATCTTTGCTGACGTCGTAGTTTACATTTTTGCTCATTACCATACGAGTTAACCCAAAGAAGGCGTAGCCGTAAGCACAGCTTAGATTCAGAAGTTGAAAGAATCGGTTAATTTGAATAATGTTCTTCGCAAGCAATAACAAAGGAAATAGCAGCCATCAAAAACTGCGAAATTGCTGAGTGTCAAACCGTTAATGAGCCCGTACATTCTTTGTTAACTTTCGAGTTTTCAACGATAATTTCTCCAAAACTACTCGTTATTTGGGGCTGAAATTATTATTATTATTATTATTATTATTTAGCCTGTTCAGTTCATTGTTTAAACACAATAGAAATTTGCTCATCTTTATAAACAAAGCCTGGTCAGATCAGCCAAATATTCCCCAGATTTATTCTTAGAATGACCCCGAGGTGGATAGAAATTGCTGTAAGAGTTTAAAATCTGCCAAGATACATCTTTTCTGCCTACGGGTAAGGGTTGGCGACCATGTTTGTAAAGAAAATAAAAATCGACCACGATCTACCGATTTAACGCTCTAGTACTTGTACCTATACACGGAAAGAGTGTGTTTTCCATTTTCCTTTTTTAAAGTTATTTTCCAAGTCCTTCAGAGCATCCTTTTTTTTTTTGCTACTTATAATAATGTGTTTCAATCTGCGTTGAAGAAAGTCTACCACAAGTAGAGGATCATAATTAACCAGCTGAAGTTGTTTAAAATATGCACGGAGTTTTCGTGTTTTGTCAAGAGCTGACTCGATCATTCTCTCTTGATCATAACATAGTCCTTTTGGTTTAATTACTCCTCAGTCCTGTCCTCTGGGATCCAAGGATTTCCGAACTTTACAATGTGAGTCATTTAAAGACACCGAATACAAGGGGATAAAACACGATTGGGTTCCTGTGTTAAGCTATGGTAAGGGATTCCTTTTTTTTCATAGCCTTCAAAGCTTTTTACTTCCCAAAGTGCCCAACATCAAAATCAAGAACAAATAGAAAAATACTGAAAAATGAATAATCTCATCTGATAGTTCAATAATTGAATGGTAACAACGTTTTGTCCGTAGACTTAAAATTTAGAACTAAGTCACCTAATATCCCATAATCTACTTTGTTATATGGCTGCTTCCGCTTGGGATTTCCCTCGTTGGTCACGCAAGTAAAAGTTCTCTTGTTGGCCCTATAATAAATCCTTTATTGACCAGGCTTGTTAGGTCAAGATGCATGTTCTCTTTTTTCTCAGTCAATAAAAATGCAAAAAAAGAACTTGACCAATATTCAGCCATCTTGACCTCACACTTGGTCAACAACGTATATCAAAGAATTCAAAGGACTTGGACTTGTATCATTGAGTAGACCCCGTAACGAAAGCTTAAAAGTAATTGAAGGGTGAATGAGGATTTCAAGGAGGTCCATAGAGGGAGAAGAATTCTTTGACTGAAGAATTATATGAAGATAGTGTTGAATGTTAAACTCTTTATATGATCGTTTAGATGTTGATTCTTGCGGAGATGTTTTGACCGCTTAGTATCAAGTTTCAGTATCATCATCATCATTGTCATCATCTTCGTCATCATCGTCGCCGTCATCATCGTCGTCATCTTGATCATCACAGCACCATCATCACCTTTCGTTGTCATTAATACCAACCATTTCGTTAATCCTTTGCGTTATCCGGATTCATTTAAAAAACTGCCATACTCATTGTGGAGAGTAGCAAAGGCCTTTTTGAGCCACGCACGTCAGCCCCAAGTGAGTTTTTCTCTGCCTCGTACCCGGGTACGTTCTAGCGGATTCGAGAGCGATTCAAGGGCTACAGGAACGATTTTGGTTCCGCGCTAGGTATCATGGGAAAGGCGAAGAGATGTTTTTCTCGCTCACCCTTCCCAGCGTCCTTTGCGTGAACGCTATGCGTTCTCACTGGTCCATTGCGTGATACTCATTGATCGCTCGCAGTCTCGAGGCAGAGTTTTTCTCGCTTTCAATATGCCTTGACGCAACCAAATTTGAATTGCTCGAAAATTTGGCCAAAAGAATTACCCAGGCATGCAAGAAGTCTACTTCGAGTCGACGTGCGTTGCTCAAAAGCGTCCCTGCTTGATCACGATTACTAACCGAGTTGCTTGAACATTTTACGGTTAATGTTTAATAATGAATATTTTTAGCATTACCTTTGGACTTTATTTTTAAATTCCTGTCAGTTCTCCAAGCAGAATCTTGATGTTCTTGATTTTTTTGTTACAGGCCACCCATGCTCGTTATTTTGCAAACCGAAGAACCCTCGATACCGTTTCTCTGCTAAACTTGCTTCCAAAGTTATAGATGGCACTCCATGCAGACCAGGATCCGTAGACATATGCGTTAACGGAAGATGCCAGGTAAAAAACACAACTCTGTATATTTGGAAGAATGCCAGATTTTTTAAAAGGCCAAGCTTAAAGCTTTTCATTACTCATTTTCATACTTATACTCATGTTGCCCGATTTTCAGTAAAAGCGATCTGTAGAGATCGAAATTGGATACAAAATTGCGCCACTTCTGATCTCCACCAAATTTGGAGCACCAGAAGTTGGAGATTAATGGTATTCATTCCGCAGCTTGAGGAAAGTGTGATCGAATGAAAATCAGCACGGTCCATAAGAAACTGGACACGACACCCGTCGGCCGCTGTATGCGTTTGTGTTTTCTCGTAACAGGCCATTTCCGAGTTACCTCAATCCTCTGTTTCAAAGCGAGGCGAGGTGCGAAGCTATCAACATTTGCATGAGACTCATTTTCACAAGGAGGGTTTTGCACTTAGCCTCGTTTGAAAGTAAGGGTTTTTGGAATTCGGAAATGTCTCATTTAAATTTAACCTGACTGTATGATTATGTGTGATGGGTATCAAATAATGGTAGAATTAACCAAGGCTAAAGAATTTATTACCCTTCACTCACTTCTGGGACTGTTATTTTTTGAGTATTTTATCATCCGCATCGCGGAAAAAACTGCTTCAAAGTATCACTGTTTGTCTATCTGTATCAGGATGTTGGCTGTGACCACTTAATAGGTTCCGGAGCAAAAGAGGACATTTGCGGTGTCTGTAAAGGAAACGGAACGAGTTGTCGTACAGTAGAAGGAAGATTCAATCAGTTAGCCGGATCAGGTATAAATTTACTTCTATTAGTTTTCGGTTTAATTTTCTTGTTAACCTAGAATGCTTTGCGCGTTTGGTTCAGTTTTGTTTTAAAAGATGTTAGACATGCTTAAAAATTCTATACGCCCTAGTAGTGGGGGCTTATGTAGTATTTAGTGCTTCAGAGTAAAGTCTCACTAGAATGAAGGCGCTCTTTTGAGGCTGAATGCTAAATAGACGCTTTTTTGCATATGGAGAACTTAGCCCAATTTAAGGGAGTTAACTAGTGGAAATCAGTCTGGTAGTATCGAGTCATCCGCCTTATAACATGACAAAGCTGTATATCCATCATCCAGGTAACTTGGTCTGCGAACGTTTGCATCTGCGAGTTTAAAAAGATTTTGATAAGGTTGGTTTTGACATTCGATAATCATTCATATGATTAACTTTGTTAGGTGTCACTGTATAAAGTCTAACCCTCTGTAAGGAAATTTTAGGACAAATAGTTTATATTGAATCTCTTTGAAGCTCAAAATTTTCTAGTGGAGTTTATTTCTATCACAACAGGTTATGTCGAAGCTGCTGTCATCCCTAAAGGAGCTAGAAGTATAACTGTACGGGAATCCAAACCCTGCACGAGTTTTCTCGGTGAGGTTCTCCTTTACCTTGATAAACAAATGGAAATAAATTAATCGTAAGTATACATAAGGAGAGAAAGTTTAAGTTTCACGTTATTCTTTTGCAAAAAACAAAGGATCTGGTAATCAATTTTCAAAAATATTCGGAGCTCTTACCGCTAACTTTCTTTTAATGATCGTCTTTAATAACACAACATGAGCTATTTTAGTAAGCCGTAAACAAAAAGGTTCAACGAAAAATTTTCAAGAGAGTAGAAGTGTTGTTTCATGACCTATGTCTTAATCAATGCTTAGCCCTTAGAGCAGATGCCGGCACCTATTATATTAATGGAAACTGGAGAATTCAACTTCCTGGTGACGTCAAAGCTGACGGAACAGTATTCCGATACCTGCGCAAGGGAACATTAGAAAAGATCATCGCTCGTGGGCCGATAAATGAGCCGTTGCACATCATGGTTAGTTTTGCGTTCACACTATCCCCACATATATGGAATATCATTTTACTTACCTTGTCCATTGCTCATATCCTCAACACGTAGTGTCCCCTTGGATTCTGTAGTGTTTCTTATGGTACCTTACTTGCTTGGCAATAGGCTATTTCGGAGTTCCCCGGGCCTCTGTAAACGAGGTTAAGTGCTCAGCCTTGGATAGGGAAATGATTTTTTATTCCCATGCAAATAAAACTCATTTTCACAAGAAAGGTTGTGCACTTGGTCTCATTTTGAAAGTGAGGGTTTTTGGAACTCGGAAGTGGCCTATATTAGTTATTCGTTCCATAAACTCTTACTTACTTGCCAGATTTATTTTACATCATCACACGAATACGTTAAGAAGAGCTTGGGATAAGACCCGTAGGGAAGAACAAGTTATCTTGTTAAATTTCAGTTACGTTATATAAGAACTATGCGATTGATTTGCAAAAAAACAAAAACATGAAACATGGTTACTAAAGTGTATTAGAAGTTTTAAATGGGAGGTGCTATAACGTTTTATATTAACGTCTTAGCATTGTCACTCAAAACAGGTCCTCTATTATGGTTTCAACTTTGGTGTGGAGTATCGTTACTCCATACCACTCCACAACAAAAGGGAAAGCAACGGAAAAACTAAACAGCATCCGCTTCTGCGTGAAGTCTCGTATGGATGGGTGCACGGAGGCTATGGCGAGTGCAACGTGCATTGTGGTGGAGGTAAGAGATAACACGAGTGAAAGTCAGCGTTTATCATATAATTCATACCTGGTTAGTAAGGTGGATCGATGGGGTTTTTCAGGGGCAATAACCACCAAGTTTTATTATCAACTTCGTCGTTATTGACAAAGATTAAAAACAGCACAAATCAAAATGCTTACACTTGGAAGGTGTTGCTTCTGAAAAACCCCTATCGAGTCACCTTAAGTCATATACTCATATATTCGTGGAAAATGAAAAATTCCTGCAGTTCCCCCTTTGAAAGTCTCTCGACATAATTTGAAGGGCCTCCTCCTCCTTCTTCTTTTTTTTTGGATAGGCATCAGGAAAAGTTTGAGAATGAAATGTATCCGTTTTTATAGAGGAAACATCTCTTTGGTTAAAGATTTCTATTGTAAAGGAGCCACTAAACCACGGCAGGAAGAGCGAGTTTGTAACGTGAATCCGTGTCCAATATGGTATGTATTTCAAAGCCTTCGATTGGCCTTTGTTTTTACTTCTTTCATATTTTTTTCTTTTATACATGCACTTAAGAATCGCGATTAGTGTGCCCAAAAGAAGTAACAATGGTATAACCCACAAAGTTGCGGCGAGGGTAAAGTGTAAGGAATTGCGCTGAGATCGTATTTGGGGACGTGTTGTCGTAAGGTCCTTCCGCCCTCTTCGCCATGTTGATCAGTTTTGTAAGTAGCATATTACCATCCATATTATTACCCAAGTCAATTATTCTCCCTCTCAAAAAATCTTTTTTTCTGTTTCTTTTAATTCTTCTTTTTTAAGAGCTCGTTCCTTCTAATAGGACAAAAGGAAAATCGATTATATCTCGTCAAAAATGACTGTCTGTGAGTGTTTTTCCAAATTATATAGAAATGTAAGACCTATACCTACTAACAACATTAGTGCATGGACTGAGAATGCAGTAAACATTTAAGATAAAGGACAAATGTTTAGGTAAATGCATTTTGACTGAAAGTAATAATATTCACAACAAAATATGAAATAAAATCAAAAGCATTAATTGTCAAAGTCAGAAAGATTGATTGAAGATGAAGCGTAGGTAAACAATATGCACCATTTCATCTTGAGATTTTTTATTATTTTTAAAAAATTAATAGTCAGTTGCTTTTTAACCATTTTTATTGAAAGAGGAAAATCAACTCAGTTACACCCTATGTTGAAATTATTGTTCTGTAGCTGTAAGTTTATTGTTTTCTTTTGCCTCAGAAAATTTTAATCCAATATATATTTTAATTAGTACATTGTACCAATGAATAATAAATATACAGCTGGTTTACCATTATGTAAGCAAAGACCCATCAAGCTTGATAAACTTTGTCCTGATAGAAAGAACAGCCCACTTTACAGGCAAATCATTGTTTTCCTTCCGCGGATCGGCAGCGTTTATACCACTGAAATCAGAGAGTAAAAAAGGAAGCTAAAAACCTCGTATAGTTACATGCCTAAAGCCATGGAAGTGAAAACTCATTCCTGTCAGCCAGATGTGGAGACAGGAAAATCGAAAAGCGAAGGTAATAATGAGTCTGAGGGCGATTTCCACAACACTGGTCAGATAATCCTTCTTATACGCTCTTATAAGGAAGCACCGGTATCTTTTGGGACAATTCTGCCAGTGTATATAGTGTTAATCGTGATTGGAATCTTCGTAAACGGAGCTGTTTCTATGGTTATGCTTCGAGGAAAGCGCTTCAAGAAAAACGCCTCAAATTTCTTTATTTTTCATATAACTTTGACAGAGCTTGCCATTCGCCTGGTTCTCCTTCCACTCTCGCTACATTCTCTACTTTCAACAGAAGGAACCGAAATCTTCCAATGCAAGATTTTAACATTGCTTTCGAACACCTTCTCTTCGGCCATCTTTGTTAGTTTGCTTGCCATTGCCTTGGACAGGTATTGCAATATCATTTATCCGATGAAATGCTTGAAAAAGAAGAGAAAACTTCTTGATCTGGTTTTTCTAGTTTGGTTGTACGCTGTAGTCATAACATGTCCTTTTGTGGTTAGCGTGGAAACCATTTCTGTAAATGAAATTCCAGAGGCAAAAGGAATGGACTGTGTAAATTGCACGGCTCGAAAATTGTGTGACATACCACAAAACTTAATGGGTCAGCTTTCGACAATTTCGTATTTCGTTTTCGCTTTTCTTCTCCCTGTGACTGTCATTTTTCTTCTATACACAAGAATTGCAATCTGTTTGCATAAAAGAAGCAACAATGGGATGGCGCAAAAAGTTGCAGCAAGGGCAAAATCTAAAGCAGTGCGCATGCTCATTCTGACCGTCTTTGGGTATATGCTGTCGTTAGGCCCTGCCGCTGTCTACGCGATGGTGAGATCTTGCGGGTATCTCAATGGCATGTCGTTTGGAAGCATACTTAAAGCGAGCTGGGCGATAAAACTTGTGACGCTGGCGAGTTCACTTGGAAATCCTGTTATCTATTCTTATTATAACGGGGACTTCAGAAAGGAGTTTGTGAAGTCTTGTTTTTCCAGGAAAAATAACAACAGTACATCTTTTCAGTCCATCGAACTTAAGTAACGCCTGGTCGCCTTCTCTACAGGATTGCTAATCATCAGTTTAATACGAACAATTAAAAGCAAGAGCTTTCTGCCATATGGTCTTTTTTCTCTTACCGCCGCTACTACACGAAATACACAATCATGCTTTCAGGGTTTTTCTTTTGTTTAAGACTAATTTGTTTGTTTGTATTTTAGCTGGATTTTACTTTCCGTAAAAATATCGAGCCACTGCTGGTTCGATCTAGAGTAGTAAACTTTAATACCCGAAGCAAGGAGCGTCTTGCTTCATTCTTGAATTAGGCTCAGCTCGAGGTATAAACGATTCCGGGGTCACTTTATAGCCTTCAGGAGGCTAGGTGCAAACTCAAAAAGTTTGATTAAGGCGGCCCGAACTTTCGCTTGCATACTGATGCCCATCAGTTGTTAGACCACTATTAATAACTTTGTGTTCATACTATGATAAGGTTAGGACATTTTTTTTTTTCATATTCACCGCGAACGTAAATATAAACAGTAAGTTTTAAAGAACAATCTGTTTTCGTTTTGGTGTTGAGAGAGAGAAAGGCAGAGAACGGAAAAATCTTGTGTCGAGGAGTTTTTTAAAGTTCAAGCTATTTAACTCGAAGATGATTTTGGTTTGTTAGCCGGTTGTCTGCGGGAACGAACAATATTCTTGTCGTTAAATGTTTAATTGGAATTTACTTATGTCGTGACTAGCGTTGAGATATATAGTTTGCTTCTAAGACCGTTTTTTCGTGCACTAACTGACGCAAAAATAATGCAGTAGTTGTTACAAGCATAGCTTTGAGAATAAACTAGCTTGTACATGCATATCTTATGTGTCCTTTTTTATTTTAATATATTTTAATTCACAAAATCATTTCGAAAGGCGAAAGCCTCCTCGTTCGCGATATATGAAATAAATTTTAACTACTGTATTTTCCATCATCATTATACTCCATTTATTCGCCTGCGAGAATTTTAACGAGTCTCTTCCGAGAAGAGGCCCTGACGTTTTGGAAGAGAATTTATTACATGCAATTTCTAAATTACAATATGTGTGTTACATGTTGGCACTAAGGTACAAGTTCTTCGTATACTCTGAGTAGTATAGTTATCATACACCGAACATAGAGATCAGACCATGGCTTAGGCGGTCTTCTTACGAGTGCTTCAAACTAAAAAATCAGCCTTTAATCTTCTTTTGAATTGGTGGTCGCTTTTTGGAGCCGGTCGCTCACGAGAGTTGCGTTTCTGCTGGATAAGTATTTCGGCTAGGTGATTAATGCGTTAAAGTTAATCTCGAGCTTCAAGAATTGATTCATACTTTGATTTCCTGCTTTTGCCTTTCACCGTTTTTAGAATAACAATTTGGATGTAAATGTTCTTTGTAATTGGTTTGTGTGGCAACTCTCTCTTGCAGTTCCTTAAGGCTTCGTACAGTTGAATTTTCATCAAGCCGGCCACCTATAGTAAGTGGCTACCCTCCATTAAGCGGCCTGTAATCAAGGTCCCGAAATAATTTTAGAAAAGATTGGGAAATGAAACTTCTATTAAACGGCCGTGGTCACCTTTTGGCCATCCCAAAGAGAGTTCTCTCATTGTTGTCACCTTTTCATTATGCGGCCATCAAGCGCTTGATACACTTGGTTTAGCCTGATTTTAAGAATATGATGAAGCCAGTCCGAGATAGAAGGGGACGACCGATTGTAAACCAGTACTGCTTCTCCCGTCGGGCTTTTGTTGCAAGAAATAATGTTGTGGTTTTTGCTAAAGGTTATGGTTACTTAAAGATTTTATGACGAACCGGCCACTTGCCGGTACCCCGAGGGTGACCGCTTAAAAGTCAGGTTCAACTGTACTTGTCACGGTGTTATTTTCGAAGTTTACTTGTATTCGCTTTGGAGCTACGCTTAAATTTTATGATTCAGGCGGCAGTTAATTGCTTTTTCTTTTTCCAGTCGAAACGACAGCTGGCAAATTCAGCTCATCGATAAAATGACCTCTTTGTTTGGATAGTTGGTTTACTTTCCTGCAGGAAGGCAGAAATTATCATGTTAATTATATTTTCATAGATAGATGTTATTTGAAACTCTAAGTGTATTTTAACAGCAGGTATAATGTGCAAACCAATAGAACCCGAAAAAAGCAGTGAAATTTACAGTGGCATCCTTGGATCCATTTCAACTTTATTAATTAAATGGCGCGCACACAAGCTTGGCTTTATAAGGAAAACATAAGATCGGGAAGTAGATTATCGAAGGTAATACTACCTGGGAGACCAAGGAAGAGCTGTCATTTCGCAGGAACTTAAAAGCTAGAGGAAAATAGGAATTAATTAAAGACACAAAACAAGGGGTGTGATTCTAGGATATTGATCATCAAACCTATCGCTCTGGCAGAAAAGCCAGGATGAATTGCATTTTGGAAACGTTTTGGTCTGCAGATTGCTTTCTGACCACAGATAAAAAGGGGGTTTTAGTTCGGAAAGAAACTAAAAAGCTACTTATCGACATTATACACTCCTGGTCGCTTCACTTCCATTAAATATTGCTAAAATTGTACACACAACAACGGTACACAATGGCTGATAATCACCAGTGTTCGACGAAGACGTCAACTGATTCAAGTGTAACGGCGAAACATGCCCTTGGTTTAACATTCCTTGTTATTCGTTCATACGAGGAAGCAAGATTCGTGTTCGCAGTTATTTTAACTATTAATGTAGTTGTTATCGTCCTAGGCGTAATTGTTAACACGGTTATTTCTTTTGTAATGTTACGGGAAAAAAACGGTATAAAATTAAAGTAATAGTTTCAATTTTTTTATGCGGCATTACGCCGTGGTAGACTTCTCTACCGCTTTCTTGCCTTTTCAATCATAATCGCGATTGCTTGGAAATCCTTTAATTTATGCATATCACAGCGGGGCGTTTCGGAAAGAACTGGTTCGATTGCCTTTCAAAAGAAACCCTAAAAAATTAACCCTATAAATAAACAATTATAACTGCGACCGGTGGTAGTGACAGTTTGCTGTCTCAAAATTTTTTTTAAAAAAATACAGATAAAACTACCAAAAGAACATAACTTATTGATAAGCATTTGATAGTCATGCACTGATTGTTAGGTGACAAAAAGTGAAACCTGACGGCAAATATAATTCGATCAATAGCCAAGTGAGAAACTGTTGTTGGTAATTCTGTGTTTGATTAGTTTGCCAATTTCTTTTCTAATCATGGAGGTCAGCAATTTTTACAGTTAATTATCTTTATTTTACAATTTTATAGCTTTTATGACAAATGCTAATAGTATTTATACAGCAGGTATACTGCGCACCAATGACACAGAGGCAAACATGTATTCTATGATTATTACCCCATGACTATCCCCTTTAAATTATGTATTTTATTCGGTAAGAGATAAGCACGCAAAGTCAGTAAGTAACTGGAAAGCTAGGGACTCAAATTTTAGCGGCCAAAGATAATACTTGGTGGGTGAACACAGTGCCACATTCTATAACCCAGCCGCTAAAGATAATCCTACGACAGTAAACACCAAGGACCACGACATTCACGAACTAGAAAACAAAAATAAGGAGAAAAATTAAGAAATAAAAAAA